CTTCATCATAGGAATATATATATATATATATGTACATACACATACACACATACACATATATATATATGAAAAAACATAGTGCTGCATATACAGAGTTTGGCACCATCCACAGGAAAGTATTCCCCACAAATAAGAGGGGAAAGACTGTAAATGAAAGTCAGGAGTGGAGAAAAAGCCTCTCCCCCATCTTTATCCCTCAATCTGTCATGTATATCTGTCTATAAGTTCTAGGAGAAAATCGGACGCCTTCAAGAATAGCAGCTAAGTGCAGGCTTTAGAACCAGGCCACTGAATGCTGGCTGGGCCACTCACCAGCTGTTTGTTTGAGACGTTACTTGACCTCTCTGAGGTTCCTCATTTTGCAATGGTAGGAATGGTGGTTGGAAGAAAGAGATGAATGAATATGTGCAATGTATTTAGAACAGTTCTTGGCACTTAGTAGGTAGCAATGTCAACAATTCTTCTTTGTTTGCTAAAAAATTTTTTTTATTGTGAATGAAGACATTGCCAACTTACATATCTCATTTTTATTTGGAGCATTTTTTCACCTTGCAGTGCTCCTGAGAAATTCAAAAATGCATTAACTTTAACTCTATAAAAAACACAATCTAATATTGAGGTTGGGTTGGAAATTTCCCACATTTAGGTATTTCCCCATTAATCAAAAGATGATCACTTTTATATAGATAAAACTTAAGTATTTAATTTTTTAATAAGTTAAAAAGTGAAGACTGCCAAATAATCACAAATATCAGAACATTGAATAGCATTTTTTTATAGGAGTATATAAAATAACTATCACCTATACTTTATATTTACAAAATTAAAGATCAATTTTTGTTGATGGAAGAGGTTTTAAATACTTTGCTATGTGGGAAAGTTCATTATCTTTAAAAAATCAGGTTCAAATGCTTTTAAGTTTGATGCATAATAGTGTTTTCTAAATAATTCTCATTACTCTCCTGTCCCTGAAAACATAGCTTCCCCTCTAATCTATTGATTGGATAAGTATTTTGATAGTTTCTTTACACTTTTCAGTTAACCATTAAGAGGTAAAAAGAAACCAAAGGCTTTATTTGGGTGAATATTATTGGACATTTTAATTGGCTAATTGCAAAGAAGCCATTTCTTTTTTCCTAGAGTTTTGTTGCTTAGTTTTGTTTTTTCTTCCTTTCATTTGTTAAAAGTCAAGAATGGCAGGAATGAAAATTCAAACAATTTGATCTCCTATTATGGTAAAACAGTGTTTAAATTCAATGGCTGCATGCTTTTCTACTACAGTAGAGAGGTTGAAAACCATTAGGAATGTGGTGAACTATGGCAGAGAGGTTGGAATTCAACCAATAAACGGAAATATTACTGTAGTTAAAATATTGCAGTTAAATGCACTGTTAGCAATGTCCTATTGCCAGCATTAGAATTATATGCTTCATCACTGTCTGCTTACTAAGAAGGTTCGGTGAGCAGGTGGTTCGTCCCTGACACAACTAAGTTTCAGAAAAGTGGATGTGTTTTCTCTGGTTTAGATCAAGGAACACTTATTATGCATACCAGTCAGCTATAGTTTCAATGACACAATGAAAACATTGGGTACTATAGATTTAGGATAAGATCATGAACTTATTTATATAGAAACTATTTAATACCAAGCTCTGTGATGTTTTAGCTATGTAATCCACCCACAATAGCTTTTAAACTTGTGTTAAACTATGGGATGAGAGGGGGGCAGGCTGTTTTGGTCAGAGAAAGAAATACTAAAAAAGTCAAAAAAGGCATTTCAAATGTGATGACATACTACCTGAATACCAATCATGCATATCTTTGTCAAATTAAAAAACATTTTATACTATTTCTTAAAAATAAAGGACCATATGTGTTTTTTAACTTGGAAACTAGTATTTCATTTGCTCCACACTGAAATGAAACTTCAACGGCAAGCAGCAAATAATGTAGAATAGTCAGTGAAGGTATTTTTATTAGGAGTCAAGGAGTAGGCTGGGTGTGGTGGCTCACTCCTGTAATCCCAGCACTTTGGGAGGCCAAGGCAGGTGGATAACCTGAGGTCAGGAGATCGAGACCAGCCCGGCCAACATGGCGAAACCCTGTCTCTAGTAAAAATACAAAAGTTAGCCTGGCATGGTGGCACATACCTATAATCCCATCTACTTGGGAGGCTGAGGCAGGAGATTCATTGGACTGGGGAGGCGGAGGTAGCAGTGAGCCTGGATGGCGCCATTGCACTCCAGCCTGGGCTACAAGAGCAAAACTCCATCTCGAAACAAAACAAAGCAAAACTAAGCAAAACAAAATCCAAAACAACAAGGGACAATAACTCATAGAGAAATAATAATGGGCAAAAAACCAAGAGGAGGCAGTTTGACAATTCTAATATGGAACTTGTATGACCACTTTCTTTAAAGTATACTAAATAAAGCATGGCAATATAAATTAGTTATCTAAGGAGACAGAGACATTGTGAAACAGCATTCTCAGTTACTTCATTTTTCAGAAAAACAAGTTTCACCCATCAACATGTAATGAAGACTTCCAGTCTTCCAAATACATTAGAAAGTACAGTTAATCACAGCAAAACTTGCAAACAACCAAATTTAGTTCTGGCCTGAGACAGGCCTCTTAACATATTTGAATTTGTCTCATTTTCACCTTTCTTTATTAATTAATATTTCTATTTTAAATGCACATACAAATTTACAGAATTTGTAAGAAATGTCTTTCTAAATGTACAACTTCAACTAATAAAAATACAAACATTCAGATACAGTTAAGTTTCAAGTCAGGATTTTTTTATGATGGATTTATAAAAAATTAAAGAAATACTCTCTGAAGTTTCAGACATCTGGGTACTGGTGCTATCAAACGGTTAATTGCCCTCAGTGGCCACTGTGATGAGAACAGTTAACTCTCAGATTGCTGTACCTCATATATCAGGAAGTGGCATGTTCAGTGATATTGCTAATTATACTTATGTATATGCAGCTGTATGCTTTAACACTTACATGAAAGTTGTATGAATTTGTGTAAAGAAACATTTAAAGATGATATTTATAAATAGCTGTTAAAACTAAGTGATATATCTGTACTATATATTCAACAATAAAAAGGAACAAACTAGTGATACATCCAGAAACTTGGATGGATCTCAAGGGAGTTATACTGACTGAAAAAAAAGCCAGTCTCAAGAGGTGACATACTGATTCCATTTATATAACACTCTTGAAATAACAAAATGACTGAGATGGAGAGCAGTTAGTGGTTATCAGGAATTCACGAGAGGGACAGGGAGAGTGGTGGCTGTGATTATGAGAGGGCAACGGGAGGGATGCTTGTGATGGAAGCATTTTGTATCTTGACTATGGTGGTAGTCACACGAATCTATACACAGGGCTGGGCTCAGTGGCTCTTGCTTGTAATCCCAGCACTTTGTGGGGCTGAGAAGGGAGGATCAGTTGAGCCCAGGAGTTCAACACCAGCCTGGCAACATAGTGAGACTCCATCTCTATTTAAGACAACTACAATAAAAGAATCTACACCCATGATGACATTGCGCAGGACCAAATACATACTCAGGGCACCTGGAACCTTTGTCTCAGGGCACCTGTAACCTTTCAGGGACCAAATACACCCATGATGACATTGCGCAGGACCAAATACATACTCAGGGCACCTATAACCTTTTATAACCTTTCAGGGACAATCTTGTTGGCCTGTTTACACAAAGTCCTCCAAAGATGATCAATATATGCTTCAGATCAACTTTCCACACAATGCCAAGAAGCTACTTTGTCATTAAAAAACAACTAAAAAACCTCTTGTGATAAACCACAATCTCTAGCTTAAATGGGCTTGGAAATCACAGAAGGAAGTAAAAAGCTAACATAGCTACTAGTATTTTTGTCTGTCTGTATTTTTGTAAGTTAAGATAAAAGATAAATCTTCCTAGCTTAAATTAGATCACATCAGAAGGAGTAAAGCAGATTTTATAGCAAACACTTGCTGCTGACACCTGGAATTTCTAAAAACATTAGGTATATTTTTATTAAATTCGGAGGAAGCACAACTACAAACAAATACGTGACATTTTGCAAAAGTCCATTTTGTGGTAAAGTACATACATATAGTGTTCATGGTTTCTTTGAAGTGCTAGATTGTCTCTGGCTTGAGAATCTTCTATTGCTTTAAAGGTCTTGCAGCGCAATTCCAGCACTGTTGTCAGGTAACACTGGCAAAGGTATAAATGTGGGCCAAACATCTGAGATGAGTTTCAAAAGGTGATGTTGGGGCCCACCAGGTCCAAGTCCCCAAGTGCAGCTGGGTTAATAAGAGGCACAGTTGCTGAGGGAGGAGCCAAAAACAGATAAACATCTGTTCTTCTACCAGACCTGGATTCTGCTGTAGAATGGGTTTTTTCGTGTTTAAAGTTTTCTTTAAAACTTTATGGTGCATTTGTATCTAGTGTTCTCCTTCCTGGTGAATCTAGAGGTTTCATATCATGAACAGAAAGCTTTGGTGGTGAAATGGATGAATGAGATTCTGTTTCTAGAAATTTAACAAAAAGTTCTGATAAAGAACTATGAAGCACAGGTTGCTGATTTGATTTCAAAGTTGTGTTGGGAACACTTTGTGATTCTCCTCCAAGCCACCCAGCCATCCACCACCCTGATGGTCATGAAACAACTGCTCCATCTCCTCCCTTCTGACACTCAGGATGCTCCCCATCAACTGTAACACTTGATGACGCTGATTTTTCAGCGTGTGGAAATGACCGATGAAGAGGTTTCTCATTAGGACTTTGTCCACTTTTCCTTCTAAGCTGTTTGCTGAGTTCATCGATTCCTTTTGTACATCATCCAGCTTTTCTGGTTGGAACTCATTTTGTTTTTTAAGTTCTCCAATTTGTTCTTTAAGTCTTGATGCTGAATCCAGTGCAGCATTTGCTACATCCAAATGTGCCTGTAATACACTTTTCTTTCCAGATGTTCCTCCTTTTTCTTCCATTCAGCTGTAAGCTGTTTTTGCTTTTCTAGTTCAGCAGAATACATAGCATTTTCCTCTTGTTGGAAATGCTGTAGTACCATCTGCAGGTTGCCCAGTGACAGAGCATACTGACACAGCATACTGCTTTACTTGTTCCTGAGAGGCAGAAAGCTGCAGCGCAGTTTCATCCCTTTGCTTGGAGACTACATTCAATTGTTCTTGCAATGACTCTATCTGTACACTGGCTTGATGGCTTGCATTTTCCATTGCATTAGAGGATAAAACTAGCTTTTCCTCCAATACTGTGACTTTCTTTCTTAGTTGAGCCTCCCTATCTTCTGTGGCCAAGGCCTCACAAGTATTAGAGTCTTCTGATGCTAGAAGATGATTGCACAATCTCTCTAGCTCCTGGTTTGATCGAAATTCATTGTCACGTAAACGTTGGACCTCATTCTGTAGGGCAGTGTTTTCCATTTGTTTTTGTTTCAGGGCCAACATGACTTGGTCTCTCTCCTGTTGAAATACAAGTGTCTTCTCCTGCATTGATTTAACTGTATTTACAAGCTGAATGAACTCCCCAGTCTTGCTCTGTTTTTTTTTTTCTTTCAATAGCTCTTCAAAAGCAAAAGACTTCTCCTTCATTGAATGGCACTCAAACTGTTTTTCTTGCAGCATCATAGAAAACTTCATGATAGTCTCTAGTAATGCTTGATATTCTGTTTCCTTTTCCCTGGATGTTTCTACTGTTTTTTCATTTTTTTCTTTTAGTTTGCCAATGTCCATCTCTAGGATTAATATTCTCTCCTTCAGGTTTGTTACCTCTTGCCTCAGAAGTTCGATTTCATTTACTTTGTTAGTGAAATTTTCATTGGAAGAATGTAATTGATCACTTTTGGTTTTGATTAAGAGGTCTTTTCACTTAAGTAACTTTTGCAAAACATCTTGTTTCTCCTTTAGCTGCTTAATTTCTATATTGTTTTTTTCATGTTCTTTTCTTTCTAGCTCTGAGGTGGCAGCAAGCAAATCAGGCAATCTGTGATTATTTTCCTGGAGAGTTCTAATCGTTGCATCTTTTTCCTGTAGTGATCTTCTGAGCTCTCCTAGCTCTTGCTGTAGTAATTCAGAAGATTCATTCAATACACCAGACTCACTTGCTCTAAGAGACTCTGCTGACTGGGGAGTCAGCAATGATGCTGAAGACAGCTGGGGTGAAATAATACCAACTTTTCCTGAAAGAAGATCCTTGGCATTGCAAAGCTGCCCAATGCTGTGCTGAACTTGTGCTAATTCCTGCCCCAGATTTTTGAGTTTGGTTTCGTTCTGCTCATAACTTTGGATCAGGCCAGTATAGTCCACTTGTAATTTAGAATTATTATCACTGTCACCCAAAACTTGTACCTGAAGTAGGTGAAGTTTTTCCCTGAAGCTTTTGCTGAGTAACAAACAGCTCCACAACTTAGTAGGTTATAACAACAGCAATTTGTTTATGAAACTGTGTTTTGACAGGTTGCCTCTCTCCTCTAGGCGAGGTGGGACTTATGTCTGCCGGGCCCATATGTCTGTAGTTAGTTGTAATGACCCAAGGCCAGGCTGGTCTAGGATGGCCTCAGCTGTGCTGGCTTATCTCTGCTTCACATGGCCTCCCATTCTCCAGTGAGCTGGCCTAGCCCAGGCTTATTCCTGTGGTAGTACCCAGGGCCTCAAGGGAGTGAGCAGAAGTGGGCAAGGCCCCTTGAGTCCAAGCTTGGAACTGGCTGGACATCACTTCCACTTCATTTTATTGGCCAAAGCAAATCATAAAACCAGCCTTAGATTCAAGGAGTCGGGAAATTGATTCATGGGGGTGAATTATTGTGGGGTATTTTTTTGTAGTCTACTATTCTAATGTTACAGGTTTTCCATCATCTTGGACAGCATGTGGATTGAAGACATAATGAAATAGCACTTAGCACAGTGCTTGCCATTAGTCATGCTCAGGTAATATTGAGTGAATAAAGAAAAGCATCTTCTTAGGTTGAGGAGATAAAGTAAGAATAAGATACATTTTATGTTCTCAAGAATCTCAGAGGCAAATGGGCATGGTGTCTCATGCCTACAATCCGAGCAGTTTGAGAGGCTATGGCAGGAGGATCACTTGAAGTCAGGAGTTTGAGACCTGGGCAACAAAATGAGACTCCCATCTCTACAAAAAATGAAAAAAAAAAAAAAACTAGCCAGGCACAGTGCTGTGCCCCTTGTAGTCTCAGCTACTTGGGAGGATGAGGCAGAAGGATTGCTTGAGGCCAGTAGTTCCAGGCTATAAGGATGCCCCTACCCTCCAGTGTGGGTGATAGGGCTAGCTCCTATCTCTTTAAAAAAAAAAAGAAGAAAAAAAAAATCTCAGTGCTAAGAGGAGAAGACAGACTCGTAAACAGATTATTCTGTTACAGTGGTCAGTGCTGTGATAGGAGTTTGTGTGGTGCGTTGCAGACATCAGTAAGAGAAGGACTCCACTCATCCAGCCTGGGAGACAGTGTGCAAGGGAGCTAGAAGCAGTAAAGCATAGTGGTTCAGGGCTTGGTTTCCCACCATGTTGCCCAAGTTGGAATCTGGCGCCGATACTAGTTACATGACTTGACCTCTCTGTATCTCAGTTCCTTCATCTTTAATTTGTGGATGTTAAAAATAGTGCCTACTTTATAGCATTTACATGAGTTTAATTAATTAATTATTATGATGATTGAAACAGGGTCTCAGTCTGTTGTCCAGGCTGGAGTGCAGTGGCACAGTCAAAGCTCACTGTAGCCTCAAACTCCTGGGCTCAAGGTATCTTCCCTCCTCAGCCTCCTGAGTAGTTGGGGCTATGGGCATGTGCCATCATGCCTGGCTCATTTTTTTTTAGAGGTCTTGCTATGTTGTCTAGGCTGGTCTTGAACACCTGACTTTCAGCAATTCTCCTGCCTCAGCCTCCCAAAGCACTGAGATTACACAGGGAAGTATCATGCCCAGATTGCATGAGTTTTAAATTAACAAATATTTGAAAACAAAATTTAGACAGTATCTAACGCAGTATTGTTATCATAGGAGATGATGGCCCCATGTGTATTATTACTCCTGAAGTTCTTCCAGTGGGGCAAGATATGGAGGTGGAAGATGGTAACATTGATGGTCCCAACTGTGTAGGACTAGGCTAATGTGTGCGTTTGTATGGTTTTTAGCAAAATAGTTAAAAATAAAGGCCGGGCACGGTGACTCATGCCTGTAATCACAGCACTTGGGAGGCCAAGGCAGATGAATTGCCTGAGGTCAGAAGTTTGAGACCACCATGGCCAACATGGCGAACTCCCATCTCTATTAAAAATACAAAAATTAGCCAGGTGTGGTGACATATGCCTCTAATCCCAGCTACTTGGGAGGCTGAGGTAGGAGAATCGCTTGAACCTGGGAGGTGGAAGTTGCAGTGAGTGGAATTCACGCCATTGCACTCCAGGTTGGATGACAGAGCAAGACTCTGTCTCAATGACAATAATAAATTAGAAAAGATTATAGAACAAGGTTACAAAGAAAATATTTATGTACAGTTGCACAATATTTGTATTTTAAGCTAAGTGTTATTACACGAATCATAAAGTTGAAAAAATAAAAAAGCTTATATAGTAAGCTTTATTATCAAGTATCATTGATAAAAGAAAGAAAAACATTTTAAAAATAGGTACTGAAGTGTACAGTGTTTATAAAGTCTACAGTAGTGTCCAGTACTGTTCCATACCTTCACCATCACTTGCCACTCACCCACTGACTCACCCAAAGCAACTTCCTATGCTGCTCCACTCATGGGAAGTGCCCTATGCAAGTGTACCATTTTCTAATCTTATATGCTGTATTTTTCCTATACCTTTCCTATGTTTAGATAGATACAAGAATACTTCCTATTGTGTTACAGTTGCCTACAATATTCAGTACAGTTACATGCTATACAGGTTTGTAAGCTAGGAGCAACAGGCTTTACATAAGCTTGTCAACCCAGAACCCATGGGCTGCATGTGGCCCAGGACAGCTTTGAATACTGCCCAACACAAATGTGTAAACTTTTCTTAAAACATTATGACATTGTTAGTGTTATTGTATTGTGTTTTATGTGTGGCTCAAGACAATTCTTCTTCCAGTGTGGCCCAGGGAAGCCGAAAGAGTGAATACAACTGCTCTACCAGATAACCTCGGTTTGGAGTAGCCAACACCATCTAGGTTTATGTAAGCATACTCTGCCGTTCACGCAATGAGATTACCAAATGATGAATTTCTCGGAATGTACCCCTGTCATTCGTTGATGCACGACTGTAATTATAAAAGGTCTGGAGATACATTTGGGCTTTCTGAAAAGAAATGAGTTGGCAAAGACTCTTATTTCAAGTACTAGTTGGAACTTGGGGGACCTAGGCAAGATTGGAATTTAGGAGCTTGGTGTCCTGAATCCTGTCCTGCCAGATGTGTCGGTTGAAAAAGGAAAGAGAGAGGTGAGACCGGCTTTTTCAGTCAAGCTGTGAAGTAGATCTACTGAGGGAAGACTAGGGACACAGAATGACAGAAGCTGAGCCTGCATCTTGGTCCTGCTGCTTGCTTAGCTTTACTGGGTCTCATGATATTATTTGCAACTCTACTTGCAAGTGTAACAAACACATATTTGAGCTAGGGAAGCTCAATGTGGGAGACTTACTGTAAAAATATAGAGATGGTGTGCAGAATTTAAAGAAAAGAGATGCAGCTGGACCTTTGGCCAAGATTGGGATCAAGATTGTGAAAGCCTCTGCTCATCTGCTTCATTCTCTGTTTATAGACTGACATTTTCTGCTTCTTGGTCCACAGCTTTGGAGCTTACATCACCTCTACTCAAGTCATCAGCTCAGACCAAACGAATCACTTAATCCTTATTGCAAATAGACCTAGAAAAAGGACTTCGACTCATTTTGTGTTAATATTTCACTCTGTTGGCCATCAGGTCAAGGTCAGGGAGCACACATTTTATTATGGGAGTTCCTATTTAGAGGTGAAGTGGGAGGGCACGGGCATTGCTGTAGCCTGGGTTGTCACCCCAAATTTTATCTGTGGGGTATCTTAGAACACAGGTTCACTGGTTTAACAGAGACTTCAAATACAGTGGTTAAATAGGAAGCATATGCCTCTTGTAACAGTCCAGTGGTAAGAAATGTAAGATTGAGTCCGGGCTCACACCTGTAATCCCAGCACTTTGGGAGGCCGAGGTGGGCAGATCACAAGGTCAAGAGATCGAGACCATCCTGGCTAATACAGTGAAACCTCGTCTCTAAAAATACACACACACAGAACGAAACCAAAACAAAAAAAACTAGCCAGGCATGGTGGCACACACCTGTAATCCCAGCTACTCGGGAGGCTGAGGCAGGAGAATCGGTTGAACCTGGAAGGCAGAGGTTGCAGTGAGCCAAGATCCTGCCACTGCACTCCAGCCTAGGGGACTGGGCAAGACTCCATCTAACGAAAAGAAATGTAGGATTGAGAGATTAAAGCCACAATACCCGTACATTGGGCTGTTCTGATGGTGGAGTCTTATTTTGATGCCCACCCTCCCTAGGCTTTCACACTCATCTCTGATGGTTCTCCATGAGATTCACCTTCCAGGTAGCAAGATAGGGGAAGGGGAAGAGAGAGGGAATGCTTCTCTTTAAGGGCATGACTCAGAAGTTGGCCAGATCTTTTTGTTTATAATAGAATTTAGTTACATGTATAAGAGAACTTAGTCACATATAAGGAAGGCTGGGAAATATAGT